ATTTCGCCCGCAGGGTGTTTACAGTAAAATGGATTGTGCGGCTAGCCGCTGGCACAGGTGACTGACGTAAGACCGGCCTTTTTAAATGCATCTTGGAACGATCATTCGATGCAAACCGACTGGTACATATTGGAGTGCTTGCTGGACGAAATTTGGCATTTTGCAGACGCAACAAATCTTCCGTTTTTGGGAAGACGAAGACCAGAAAAGTGCTAAGCCACTGAAGAGCCCCGCAGATATGGTGTCCATACCGACATTGAATCCACCAATTGCGACGGGCTCTCGCAGTACCCTTTCCGCTCTGCAGCGAGAGCTCCAATAATCATTTTTCGCTCCGGGGAACTTCCGTGCTTTTAGCGTCCGGTTGGTATCGATCTTTGATTCTGAGGGACGCAGCGTGCTCTGCCAAGGACGCAAAGGTCAATATTTGCCGCTTTGAGGGCGTGAACGTGGGTCACCGGTGACTAAATGTTTACGTCGGACAAGATTTCGTCTGTTTTCTTGAAATTCTAGGCACGGTAAACCCCAGAGTTACCCTGAAACCCCGAATTTCTTCTTCGTCATCGCAAACATTCTTCAGAATTGGGGGTTCTAATGACAACTCAAGAAGGTGCTCCAAAGTTAGTGAGCTTTCCGAGGTTTGCAGTGTGATAAACCAGAGGTTACATGTTTTGCGGCAGTTTCAGTCATTTTTTTGTGGTTTACGGGGCAGCGTGAATATTTGCCAGCTATTACACAGTTTATTTAAGCCAGATTGACGTTGCTTCTTGGTACAATGCCGCGCTGCACTGCTGGCGATGTCATTTGAAGTGTTTGAAGTATTTTTAAGCATTTCAGGTAAAAGGTTTCGAAGACGCAAGAATCATTAGCCACTATCGATTTGGCTGAATATTTGAGACAGGGTATTTCATTCTGTGCTTCCTAAAAAAGGGCCTCAAACAGGCCTCAAATAGCATCCTGGTGATTCCGAAGCTGTTTCACGGCTCCCATAGAGCATTTGTATCGGAATGAATGCCAGAACCCCCGGAGGTTTGTTAACCTCCATTTCCTCGTAATCGCTTTGCCGGAAGGTATCCGTAAGTTCCTTCAGCTGGAACAGTGTCGTTGAGTGGCCTCGTCAGTCCAGTGGCGTGGTCAACTTGGAAACTGGTCCTCCGTTCTCTCTTATCCACCAGTGATTCCATGGTGCTCCTGATTGAAGTGCTCCGCAACCCCGGTTTACATTTTCGAAGTTAATTGCAGAACATCTGTGTAAGGTAATGGAGGTATTGTGCATGCCCAGCCAAGCAAGTTCGCCCTGTAACCGTACGTGTACAACTCTGGTCACGTTTTAAGAAATCACACAGTAGTTCACCGGTTTTCGACCTAGAGATTTACGTATCTCCGTCCTGATAGCGGTAGACAATCTTTGGCTCTAGTGCAGGTTAACATAGTCAGGCTGACGACTATGTAGATGCTCCGAAACTGCGTCAAAATGGGATCATCCGTATAGATGGCCTAGGTTTTGATTCAAAATTTATTCACGGCATTTTAGTCCTGAAATAGCTTCTAACGGTATACAGTTGAGCGCGCAGCTACACTTACATATTCCTTGTCTAAATGTTGAAGTCCGACATGAACATCTCCACCACTTCGCATTGTGCAAAGTTGGTCGTGTGTTTTGCATCACTAAGTATTGTCACTGTTTGACCTACACCACCGAATCTGGCCGTGGGAGATCGAAATGTGCTTAAATTCTCCGTCTCATTAGCGATGTGTCTGGCCTGTAAAAGTATGCGAAATTACTCTGCGTTTCTAAGGAAACCTTCCGGTCTTGTTCCTCGGGGACGTGAGCTTCATTTCACCGATTCTTTCTTCTCCGTTGCCACTGAGCGTTCAGCCAGGCAGTTAGAAGCGGGGTGACAGTTTGCTCTTAAATATGCTCTATCCCAACAAAGATGCTCAGTCTCAAATCAGTTTTGTATTCACGGAAGACCCAAACGGACCACACATTTATGCTATTCATCTACTGAATGTGCTGCACAAAGAACGTATTCTGTTTCATCCGGTGTGACACCCATGATATCGCAGCTTATTGTCATACCGGAGGCTACTAATACGGCTGCTAAAAGCTCCTCCACAGCATGCCGTTGGTTGTGTTATTATTTGGCGAATAGTTCGCTCAGTTCTCTATTCCTTTCAAAAGGCTAAAATTCCGCTCCACCGGATGCTGTCATTGGAAATAACCGTATCGAATGCACTGCCCAATGCAAAAGCGCTGTTTGGAATACATATGTTAGGAGTTCCAGGTGCAATTCTATTGGACACAGCTTTCAACGATTTCGAATATGCGTCGGCTATCACATGAATGTCATAGATATAAACAAGGCCACAATAGTCCACCTGCATGCGGCTCCATAGCCGTGACGACCACCGCCAGGGTGATATGGGTGCCTCCACGGCAGGTCGTGACGCCTTGCTCTACTAGCGTTCATCATGCTGTTGCGCCGTCAGTTCCACATCATGATGAATACAAGGCGACGAAAAGAGGCACCGGGCTAAAGCACCTGTTCGCCTACAACCTGTTGCTTGTAAAAATTTCTGGCGGTGGCGTCCTAGAATGATAATCCTCTCCTCGAAGTAAACATGTCTTCCAAAGTAAGTTACGGAGGTCGTTCACGAAGATCACTTAGTATACTTTTGGCATCCTCCAGCAAACCGTAATAAGTGGGATATAACGGCTGTGATTGTTTTCCATCTTTTCTGTCTTTTTTGTATTTTCTCAAGTAGTGCGAGGTAAATCTTGAACCCAACTCACGAATTTTTTTCTTCTCGACCGGCTTCAGTGTGTTGAAAGCCACGTCTCATAGTAGGATATTACCTTGTCCAGAAACTTACCGCAAAAAGTATCGAAAACTTAAAGGTCTGAATGCGCAGGTTTGCATTTTTAGGGATGTCATTTCAAATGTTTTTATTTCTTCATGTATTCCCAGCAAATGCTTCTGGTTCGTGTGTATCTTGAACGTCGGCCCTGAAAAATGGTACTGGAAAGCGTTACTCCAAAAATCACTAACGCCTTCAATTTATTCATGCACAGCTCCTTACTGTAGGTTGCAACAATCGTTAAGCGCAGGTAACTGGTTTAAAACCTCGCGACCTATTTCATTGCGGTAACACCTCCCGTAGCATGAAGTGGAACACAACGGGCAAGAAATATTAGCTTTGCTGTCCCGAAATGGATCAACACTAGAGGAGCCAAAAGGGCACGTTTCGTATGCTGAAACGCCTGCTCTGGTGCCCGATTCCAAATCAGACCAACTCCGAAACAGAGAAGGTAATTCAGCATGTGTAACTTTTGGCAGCTGGAGGAATGAATCACCCAGTGTTAATGACCACGCTCGATTTACATCTATTTTCGCGCTGATTCCTTGGTAGTGATGCCACTGATACTGGACTTATTTTCTCCTATGGAAGAGCCATATGTGCTACACTGGTTTGGAAACCCTAAAACTTTAGATAAATGGCCAGGAGATTACATTTTTGCTTCCACTTTTGTCAGTCGGCATACCTTCGAACCATGAGGCACTAGTTTCAATGTTTGAAAGCACTGTAGTGATAACCCTGGTTATTCTCATGTCTTGTGTATGGACGGATAAATTGGGTACTCCGTAATAGTATTTCCAATTTCGCTAATGAATTATTATTTCACGGCTTGTAGCGCAGGTTGTAATTGGTTTGCATTATTTTTCGTCAGCTTCAGTGCCACCGGAGTATCATAGGCCACTTCCTTTACTGGTTTACTGTCAGCAGCTAAATGCTATTGTATACGAGCTTTACCCATAAGAACGACTGAGCTGCATCTGTGCAAATGGCTCGGAAATCTATCTTGGTCTACGCGGAGGCTGCATCAACTGTAGAACCAGTTCCTATATCACAGCGTGGTCCGCAGTAGCGATGCGGACCAATTCCACTTTTGCCTATTTTTGTGCACAGCATCCACTAGCACCATTTTACTGGATCTCCGAAAAAAAGCAGGGACCTCGCGGTCTCAGTGAATCAACTGTTTTGTCTGTGGAAGTTCTGTAGTACACTTGCCTCCAAGCCTAGGGGCTTTCTGTTGCATGTTATGGTGAAGTATGTTCGCCACCGACTACTATACTTACGGTAGGACTGTACTCTGTGCTATGTAGTGGCTCCACACTTGATCCATACGCCCCATCCAGCCGCTTAATAGGGGGAGGGTTCCGTACATGGCCTCTGCCATGCCAGCTGGGAAGCTTGCAACCCGCCGGGAGCAGCATGCATTCACCGCAAGAGCTGGAGAAAAAAAGACTCGAAGCCGAGCTCACTCATTCTGAATCAACCAGAGAAATGTGTGAAATATGTTGAGACCAATGTTTGGAATATTCTGATTCTTTGTTTTACCGCTCCAAATTCAATAATACCGGGCCACATTTCTGGCAGCGCGGATTCTGCCACTGACGATGTTCGAGGTGACGATCAAGACGCTGGACGGTCGGAATTCTCTGTTTTCGGTGGAGGATGAGGTAATTGCACGCAGGTCCTATATACGCTTTTCAGACCAAAGTAGAGGATTTCAAGACGGAGGTGGAATCGAAACTCGTATGTTCATTCAATTCAAAATTTACCAGCCCACATTTCCTCAGGGAATTCCGGTAGCACAGCAACGGTTAATCTTCCAAGGTCGAGTTTTGCCAGATAATGCAAGAATGGTTGATTGTGGTAAGACTTTTGGAGACTATTCCTGATACGATTATCGATATTCGTATCGATGTCGAACCCACACAATATGGTATTTATCGATTGAATACAGGTTTCCGTCTGTCACAACATACGTTTGTAACGTTTGATGTTTATATCCAGTCGCACTGTCATATCTTCAAACGTTAGTCCAGTTTTCCATTGGCTTCATTGAATTTCAGACGAGTTGCATTGCGCTCCTTCGAGGCCCCTTCGCGTAGATTCTGGCGTTGGGGAGAGTTTTAAAGACAAACAACACCATCAAGGGTCCCATTTGGCAGCATGGCACCGCTCACTGGTCGACCCCAATGAGAGCTCATCCACCGCCTCAAGTTCCTGCCCAGAGTCTGTCAGTAGCCATTTATGCCGAATGGCACTCCATAGGTTGGCCATTAATTGAACCGCCTTCCTTTTCGGCCTAAACGCCCCTTGTTCTTGACCTCTGGCAGTCCCGTCTGACCTGATCGTAGAGACTTTTATATCCAGCTAGTGTGTATGAGATGTCCAGGACAAGACTGGTGACCCATCCTAAAACACCTAGGTGCCACAGACGACCTTACGAAAGTCGGCGCGCCACAAGAACTGCATCTTTTAATCTCCTCGACTTGTTCGAGTAGGCCTATTCCTAGAATTACGGATAAGAAGCAGATAGCCGGTATTTCAGGGTATGAGTATGGTGAATAGCGGTCGAAAAACGTGGAGGCGGGCAAAAGTACTGATTATATCACTACCCTCACGAAAGGCACTGCGAAGTGTCCCATGGGATTGTGAAGGCCTGGAGGCTTCGAAAAAAATCGTTAAGCAGTGGCGCCCTTTCGGTGCCTAACTGCTATGCCACCAGAGGTTGGTACGAAGGCTGGGATGCTGCCAGGTTGCCCAGGCCTAGTTGGATGTAGCCGGGCTTCAAGGGTCAGGTTCGAACCAGGGGCCTTCCGATCATTTAATAGGCACTCTAACCGCTGAGCCTTCCAGCCCCTTGGAGGCTTTGTCCTATTTGATTTACAGGAACACCTAGAAGGACGAAATCTGCTCCCACAATACCTCCACCAGGACGCTTTCGCGGCCTGCATTTTCATACGTTCCGGATAAAGCAGGTGATCAGGTTTCTCATGAGTTACACCACTTATAACTGGACAGCATCAACGTGATACCATTAAAACACGAGACGTCCTGGAAATTAGGAAGTCATGGATCCAGATCCCTGTGAGTCCGTACACCGTGAGCTCGATTAAAAGACGTTTGTAGGGAAGTTTGACAAAGTTCTTACTGAAATCAACATATACCAACCCGGGGTTCACAGAGGTGGAATTGCCAGAGTAAGGAGTGAAATATTCTAACAACAGCGAGACCGGAAATCCTTCTTGTTATGTAGAGCTGTTTAGCCTTTATCGTCAGATTCCCTGCTGCCTCGCAGAACACTCACTTTTGCGTACAAGCCGCGGGCTACTACGGATACCTCTCGTATCAATATTGCCTCATCACTCTATGCTACTTCTCGAGTACATAATTACTGTAATGCTACAACGTTCCAGAAACTCGAAGCAACTAGTATCTCACTAGTGGAGAGACGGGTGATCTGAAGGCCATCGTAATTTGACAAGTGATTGTTCAAATGTTTGTGATCAGTTTAGTGCTGTCCGCTTTTCAGCTTAGAGGGGATCCTAACTAAGATGACCGTTCACTGTTGGATTCATGTGTGCGCCAACAACAGCTTGGGCTGCTGTTACCTACGAATTTAGTGAAGCCGGTTAGTTGTAGTGTTGTTTGAAGTGCCAGCTTGACCTCGGTTATAACGAGACTGTGCTTCGCTGATTTACAGTAGCTCGTGAGACACTGATTGGAGAGCAGCGAGCGGGATACAGGCTTGGTATGGGTCTCATTGACCAAATCTTCACACTCCGTCAGATGCTAAAACAACGCTATACGTATAAGCGTTCCACAATTCTAGTGTTTCTGGATATCCAAGGTGCATTTGACTCGGTTGACCGGTCTGTTCTGCTTCACACGCTTGCCCATCGAGGAATGCCCCGGAAGTTCGTGAACATAACAGACTCTTTGTACTCTCAGATTTCCGGACGTGTGAGAGTGCACGGTGAGTTCTCTAAAAGCTTCCGTACACAAAGTGGTGTCCGTCAGAGATGTTCACTTCCTCCATTCCTATTTAACTTGGTGATCGATGAAATCATGAGACGAACGCTGGGAGGTCTCGGAAACTCCAGTGTTCAAGTAGTCTGTGACAAAAACCTTGTTACTCTGGAATATGCAGACGACGCGGTTCACATTTTGGAAGAGGAGGAGAAGGTGCAATAGTTCTTAGAACTGACCAAAGTCATCCCCTCCTTTGGTATGCACTTTGCACCCACAAAGTGTAGGGTCATGCTTCTGGACATGCAGTCATTGAACACACCACTTACAATCCAGGGAGAGGAATTGGAAGTTGTGGAGCGTTTCGCGTATCTTGGAAGTTGTATTGGTTCTGATTGTAGTTTGACAGCGCAGGTCAGCGCAAGAATCTGCAAGGCTCGGGCGGTGTATGCTAATGTGGGACACCTATGGCGTCAAAGTGGTTTATCCCTGAATCTCAAGGGACGTGTGTATCAAGCTACAGTGCGGGCTGTTTCGTTGTATAACTGTGAGACTTGGTCTGTTAGAGCAGCGGAACTGAGACGTCTTCAGGTGTTTGACAATCATCTCAGAACCATAGCTCGTGTGGGTTGGTGTCGGTGGATCCGTAACGAGGCAGTTAGAAAGCACGTTTTGGTTGTGCAACTTCCATTAAAGAATGTGTCCAACACCAGCAGCTGCGTTTGTTGGGACATGTGTTGCGCATGCTTAACCATCGTTTGCCGAAGAGAATGCTTTTTCCACAGCATGACCTGGCAGAGGAGTATGAAGGAGATCACGAAACGCTTGGGTGCTGTCGGTGCTACTCGCCTTCCAGGATGGGGACCGCGTGATCCTCACTGTGCCTGGTTGAAGACACTCCAAGATATGGCTGCCAACTGATGTCAGTGGCGTTCCTGTTGTCAGTTTCTATCCAGATTGCCTGAGTGAATGTGGCAGTGAAGCATTGGTGTTGCGCACTGATGTCATGCTGTCGTTGATGCTGATGATGATGCTTTTTCCACGCCCAATTCACAGTGGCGGAAACAGAGAGGTGGCCAACCTTTGACCTGCCAGAGGAGATTACGAAACTTTGGGTCCCATCGGTGTTACTCGCCTTCAAGGATGGGGACCGCGCGATTCCCATTGCACCTGGTTAAGGCATTGCAAGATATGGCTGCCAACCGATGTCAGTTTTTATCCAGATTGCCTGAATGAGTGTCTGGAGGTGTAGGCACCTCGGAATGATTGTGTTAAGCTAGCAGTAATTCCCTTTTCTGCCCACCTTTATTCTCTTCTTTACAATAAGGCTATCAAATAAATCATGGTTGTACGGCAGAAAGCGTCGGTGTTGAACATTGATGTCCTGCTATTGATGCTGATTGTGGTGGTGGTGGTGATGGCCAGCTGAATTCCTGTTCGAAATACTGTGCCCAGCATACTAACGTTTTACTGACGAGAGGTTTCCGAGGCCCAGTCAAACGAATCAAGTTGACCAGCTTGCGGGAGTTTCCAGCATCTTCCAATTCTTCGGCCTTTCAGGGCCCACCAAGCTTCTCGTCTGCACGGATACTCAGTTTCACCTGGCGTCGGGTGGAGTTGTAGTTACAGCTACGAAGAATTTGTCGCGATCCTCCAGCAAAGAAACGGTCCTATCAGAGATCCAATATTTAGATGGGGTTGGCTGGGTTGTACCGAAAACAGAAGTTCCGGTTCTGAGTAGCGCTTCGGATACCTGTTACCTACCGGACCGTCCGGCAGGCGTTTGAGGAACCTGTTCTGACAGTGTCGCTTGATTTCTGGGTCCACAAGCTTTTAACTGGATGCGCAAGGTTATGTGTGTTTTGCGGAGGCCTGAAAAACGCAATGAAAAGCAGCAGCGCACAAGTACATGGTCGAAGTCAACACTAATGTCCCAGAAGTGGCGCCAGACGGTGATCGACCATAGCCACCCATAAGTGACGACAGGGCGAGATGGCTGTGTGATTAGAGCGCGAGTTTATTGATCAGAAGGTCTGTGGCTCGAACGCGACCTGTCTCTCGGCTTCCCCTGTCTAGGCTTGGGCAACCTGGTTGTATCGCAGCCCTCGTGCTCCCTTCGGGTGGCAAGACGGCTAGGCACTGAAAGGATGCCATAATGATGCCGACACAAATCGATGGGTCAACGTGGTTAAGCAGCCAATGGAATACAGTTTGTATGGGATACGTTTTGCGACGGTTTGATGTGTTTTTTTGTTCTTTGCACAATACCTTTTTACTGTCAGTGAGGGTAGTCTTAGGTCAATATGGTTGTTTTTCACTCTGCACAGCTGCATCAGTTTTAACGAGCCAACGTTCACACTCCTGCACCTTCCCATATATAACTCCGTTGTCTGAATTTTTGGTGGGTTAACAATCGATGGTACCCGGTTCTTTTGTCTAGGTGTTCAGAACAAAGTTATTCATTTGGTCCCCAGACCGCCGCCGTCCACTCAGTCAGAAGGGCAGTCGGGTTCGGCAACTGCTCCCGGTGGCCACACATTAGCTCCTGGTGGTGGAGGTATCACGTGGAGCGGTGTCGATATGCAGCAAGCTATTCAGGACATAACGGCGGGCATTTTCAGCGGACTGGGAGAGTTCGGACGGAGTATTCAGTAAGTGACTACTTGTTTCGTTCTGTCATCAGAACGTGCTATTGAAATCTTTAACGGAAAGGTGTTTCTGGGCGACAGTGTATTTGAAGTCATCGTTCAGCTGCAACACCCTTCTGGTACCTAGCTGCCATGCCACCATTTTCCGCAGGTGTGGGAGGTGTATGGGTCGAAGCTCCAGACTCTTGCTGCATGGAGCGTGGACTAGATACCGGAGTTATGCAGTAGTAGCATGATGGTGGGGGAAATTTATTGATTCCGGCAACGTCTTTTCGCTGTGTTGCTTTTTGTGCTGCTTGGTTGACATCCCTACAGAGTCCCTTGGGGCTGCTTTGTCCACCTAGTTGCACGTTGACGGTGCAAGAGCCCACATTCATATGTGAGATGTCTTTTAAATGCAAGATCGTGAGTGATTTTGTAGAAGTTTGTTGTGCGACTGCGTGACTGGATCCAAACTGGAATCCATCAGGCACATTCGGTTCCTTATAGGACCACAAAGCAGTGCTAGACGGCTAAAACTCACAATACTCCGATATAAGGTGACCCTATCTGGTAGGTCCTGTCAGATGCCTGTTGTGCATTTGTGGACTGATTTCCCAGCTGTGTTTCGGCAACTGGAAAAAGTTTTCAACTCCATTCAACTAACTCAATCGTTTAAAGTGATTAACACTAGCATCATTAACAGCTATATCATGTAAAAACACTGGTGCTTGACTACTGTACAACCATATTGTAGTGGGAGTCGATGACTTAGTTAATCGATTATTGATCCGTTGAGTAGAATGAGAAGACTTCGCCTAAGGTTAGGCTTTATTCAACATATAAGCACAGTATAGGCTGAAATGACAAGTGAAAGTGAATTAATGGAAATAGCAGTAAAGCGTAACTTTCACTACATTCACTCCGGCAGGCAAAATGTCAGTTGAACCTAACAGAAATGTGTTGTTGGTAACAGAAAATGAACGTAGTGTGGATGAACAATTGAAAATGGTTAAAGTGATTTTTAGTATTTTGAGGGTCTGAATGGAACACTGAAATAACGTTTCGTCGTGGACGCAAGAAAGTTTGTAACACCTGATCTAGACTTCGCGGTTACGTAAATTGTAGGGACGAGTGCGTTGCTGTTGCATCAGAAGATTCTGAGCATTTTCTGATATGCTCGTTTTCGGTCTGTTTCGAATCTCTGGTAATATTCCAGCATTTCCTTCACTGTTGTTATCATCCGATAACATTTGAGACTCGAGCTGAACATTTTCTGATCCCCTATCGCCACCTGCGGGTGCGAGTTGACGGATAGAAACTGTTTGGTCCCTACCGTCTTTGAACCGAATATGGGCATACTCAGGATTGCATTCTAGTAACGTCGCTTCTTCCACAATTGGGTCATATTTTGATGTGCGGTCAAACGACTTCACAAGAACAGGACCAGGTGATGTTAGCCAGCTAGGCAGAGATGGTCCGTACGATGATCGACGCTCGTGAACAAACATTCTCTCATGTGGCGTTGAATTAGTAGCCGTACAGAGTAA